AATAATAATTGTTATGGGAGTGAGAGTTGGACACTTTGCCAGAAACTGCAGGCAGTACAGACGAATGTGCTGGCTTATCTTATTCCAAGACATGTCAACCGAAATTTAATTTCCATGAAGAAGGTAGTAACGAAGATCCAGAAGTGGATAAAAATAAACCAGACGTAAGTGCTTGCATGGTTGAAAGGAAAGTAGCATCATCAGATGACTGCTGCTGCATAGATGAAGAGGGTAGTCAGGTAACGCCTACATGTAGGCATTTTCTTTCTATTATGAGCGCAGCTTGTACAATTTACTAAGAGAATGCCAGTTTCCACAGGTACTGTTGGCTCGCATCCAGTTTCTGTTCTCCATGACAGTGATGGCAAGGTGTGGTGGTAAATAAAGGATTTGTTTTGTGTTACCTGGACAACTGACTAGCAAGATGGGAAAAAACACTGTGTTTTCATAATGGTACTGTTAGGAACTCATAAAGAACCATTATATATGTGAACTTCATAATACAATATAGTTTAAATTTGATGATGTTTCAGAATTGAATTTTCTGTAGTATTTAAAATGTATTTATTGTATTGTTTCCATATTTATAGTTCTATTATTATTTTTCTGGTATTTTAGTATTCTCATTTGGGGACCAAGGTGGAAATAAGTTGCTTTTTGTACTTTCCTTTGTTTTTATCCTTAAATGTTTTCCCAGTCAACATCCTTTATAATGTTTTTATATAATTTCAATGCCTTTCGTATGTGTCTGTGTATATTTGTACACGCCAATGTGAAAAAGCAAATATATAATCTCTATTTATACCCTTGGGTAATGATTATTTATTCCAATAATTAAACTTCAGTAAATTCTTGTGGCCATTTTCACCTAATATCCTGGACGCACTCATCTGTGTAGCAGATTGTGAATTCCAGAGAACTGCTTGACATGAGTTGACGACAGATATTGTGGACAAGCTGTATTTTAGCCAAAAAAAAACGCCTTTGTTTTATGATTATGGGATGTATTTGTGATGTACGTATCAACAAAACGAGGTACTGTAGACCTCTGTATTGTATGTGATAAAATAAAACAATTGCAATTCAAATTTTTTTTAGACTTTTAATTCCCGTTATCGAACAATACGAGTCAGTTTCTTAGTAGGTGTGCATGGCATGGTGGAAATAGACTCGGGCGGACGATATTATGAAATATATGATTTCTTGTATCTGAATTTAATCAGTCTTCATATGCGAATAAAATAGTCTAGGCCTTTAAAAAAAAAAACTATTTTATTCTGTTCTTTTTCAACCCACTCCCGTAACTTGTTATTTGTGTCATCAAACACAGTAGGTATTGCGAAGAAATTGTCAATTTTTAATATTGTCTAATCCAATAATAATTGTTATAGGAGTCAGAGTTGGACACGTTGCCAGAAACTGAAGGCAGTACAGTATATTTTAATATTTAATATTTTTATTTTCAGCTAATGGGTCGATCCTGAAAAGGGATGAGTCAATTCGAGCAGATGTCAGTTCGAGCGGATGCATTTAGTGCAAACTACAACAAAGGCGAATTTATCGTCACCCTATTTTTGTATTTCTTTGTTGTAAATGCCAAAAATGTTCTGTGCGCTAAAGTTCTGAAATTACTTTTATTACTTTTTGATAATTATTCCATGTCTTGGCAAATCCGACTAAAAAAGATGGCCGATAGAAAGCACTTAGGTCCTATATTTTAAAACTATAGAATTTCGCACGTAGAATTCACGGTTTTTGTCTACAGTTAGTTGAATTATATAGTGTAGTAACAGTATTTGTAGATTTACGATTTAGGCCTATATTTGTAAATGGGAGTAACTGTAATTGTAATTTTTATTCACCATAGAAATTTAAATTATTTTTACATATATGGTATCAGAAGGTGCACAAATCATTGGTGTGGTAGTGTGCCACAGGGGCGGATCCAGAGGCACGTGCCCCCCTCGTCTTGCCACTAAATTTTAAAAATGTCAATGCATATTAATGTTATGTTATGTGTTATGTACTCACTTATCTACTGTATTCTGAAACTGTTGTGCCTCCACCCCGCCGTTTGAAAAATTCTGGATCCTGCAGCCCCTGTGACAAGACTATCAACAGCACAGTAATAGACATCATACCAATTTTCTCCACTATTCAACCATTCGTCTATATACCTGTAGTTCAAAGAATAACAATGTGTAAACATTTTTTTTTATGAAGAATGTAGGTATGTTTAATTGTAAATTGTTAACCTTATAAATGAATTAAATATTACTTTTTTTATACATAAGGCTATACGCTTCTCCACCGGAACCCACCGGGGCTTTTCCCCTGGCTCCAGTGGCGTATCTAGAAGTCTTGAAATGGGGGTGCTGATTGG